GCATTACCCTCTGTAGCGCCTTACGGTCAGATGCCAAGCAGTTGACATACCAGGCAGTGATGCAACCAGTCAGATGCTCTCGATGGTGCAGCTGTAGAACTTTTAGAGGATCTGGCGACCCATGCCAAATCTTTTCAGTCTCCTGAGGGGGAAAAGTTGTTGTCGTGCCCTCTTCACGACTGTCTTGGTGTGTTTGGACCATGATAGTTCATTGGTGACGTGGACACCAAGAAATTTGAAACTCTCGACCCGCTACACTACAGCCCCATCGATGTTAATGGGGGCCTGTTCGGCACTCCTTTTCCTGTAGTCCACGATCAGCTCCTTTGTCTTGCTCACATTGAGGGAGAGGTTGTTATCCTGGCACCACACACTGACTTCCTCCCTATAGGCTGTCTCATTGTTGTCGGTAATCAGGCCTACCACTGTTGTGTCATCAGCAAACTTAATGATGGTGTTGGAGTCGTGTTTGGCAACGCAGTCGTAGGTGAACAGGGAGTACAGGAGGGGACTAAGCACGCACCCCTGAGGGGCCCCAGTGTTGAGGATCAGCGTGGCAGACGTGTTGCTGCCTACCCTTACCACCTGGTGGTGGCCCGTCAGAAAGTCCAGGATCTAGTTGCAGTGGGAGGTGTTTAGTCCCAGGGTCCTTAGCTTAGTGATGAGCTTTGTGGGCACTATGGTGTTGAACGCTGAGCTGTAGTCAATGAACAGCATTCTCACATAGGTGTTCCTTTTGTCCAGGTGGGAAAGGGCAGTGTAGAGTGCGATTGAGATTGCGTCATCTGTGAATCTGTTGGGGCGGTATGCGAATTGGAGTGGGTCTAGAGTATTCGGGATAATGCTGTTGATGTGAGCCATGACCAGCCTTTCAAAACACTTCATGGCTACCGATGTGAGTGCTAGGGGGCAGTAATAATTTAGGCAGGTTACCTTCGGCTCCTTGGGCACAGGGACTTTGGTGGTCTGCTTGAAACATGTAGGTATTACAGACTCGGTTAGGGAGAGGTTGAAAATGTCAGTGAAGACACTTGCCAGTTGGTCCGCGCATGCTTTGAGTACACATCCTGGTAATCCGTCTGGCCCGCGGCTTTTTGAATGTTGACCTGTTTAAAGGTCTTGCTCACATCGGCTACCGAGAGCGTTATCACACAGTTGTCCGGACCAGTGTGGTGTCAGACGAGAGGACAGGTTTCTAAAATTCAGGGGCTACTGATGCCACACAACAATACTACTCAGAGATACATCTGGGTCTAATGAGATGCACTAGCTAGTGTTGGACATAAAAAAGGACACGTACAGGATGCACTTGAGGATTTTTTTTTGCAAGTTAAGGGTTACATTTACATTTAAGCCATTTAGCAGACGCTCTTATAGTTAGTGAATGCATACATCTTTTTTTTTAAAGTTTTTTTTATACTGGCCCCCCGTGGGAAACGAACCCACATCCCTGCCGGCCAAACCCTCCCCTACCTTGGACGACGCTGGACCAATTGTGCACCGCCCATGGGTCTCCCGGTGGTGGCCGGCTGCGACAGAGCCTGGAATCGAACCAGGATCTCTAGTGGCACAGCTAGCACTATGATGCAGTGCCTTAGACCACTGCGCCTCTCAGGCAAATCCCTTGTTAAGAACAGTGGGAGGCTCCTCAGAAGAGGAAGGGGAATTTCATAAAAATAAAAATGGTAAAACATTTAAAAAAGTTATACTTTTTAGATAAAACTATACTAAATAATTGATTAAAATACACAGTTTTGCCATGAAGGTCTATAGTAGCCTCAACAGCACTCTGTGGGGTAGCACCATGGTGAAGCCGGAGAACAGCTAGTTTTCGTCCTCCTCTGGTTACATTGACTTCAATACAAACCCTAGAAGGCTCATGTTTCTCACCCCCTTCCATAGACATCCTCCAACCTATCAGAGCTCTTGCAGCATGAACTGACATGTTGTCAACCCAATCAAATGATCAGAGAATGAATCTAGCACTGAAAGTATAAGCTACAGCTAGCTAGCACTGCAGTGCTTAAAATATTGTGAGTAGCTGACTCAGAGAGCGAAAGACAATAGTTGAACAGTTTTGAACAACTTCATTTCTTCCTAAATGAAGGAGAAGAAAGAGAGAGAGAGAGAAGATTTCGTTTTTTTTCGTTGAAGAATTGGTCGGACTTCAAAAGCACTTGAACACAATCAAGTTGGATGTATGACTTCCCACATCTTAAGTTTCCCACTTCCCACGATCACATGAATGCCCCAAAAGTAATTGTCCTGTCACAGTGTATACACAGACCTCCCCAAAGGACTAAACAAATTCTTATACTGTCTCAATATTCTCTCTCACTAATAATAACAGGTCACATATTCTGCTTAAGTACGTCATATAAACTCATCTCTGTATGACAGATCAACAATATGTCTTGGAAGATGAGAAATGTGTGGGAAACTGGAAATAGAGTATTGGCCTGTGTATCATAACAAGCTCTAGTGACCGCAGGTGTGGCTGATTCTCTGTGTATCATGGAGAGTAGCCATTTTGTGTCTTACTACTACAGGTGAGAATAACGATCTGTGTCAGTGGCGTCAGCCATTGTGGGTCAGTTTACATTAACGCAACTGTTGCGTGTCCGACTGTCCGTATCACGTTCTACATTGTATTGCAGTGTTGTAATCATATCTTAGGCAATCATATCGTACGCCTTCTCTCTCAAATTCCAACACACACCCATCAAATACTGAAGTCAAATCAATGCAGAAATACACATAGAGAAATGTGTACACCATAGTTCCTCAAATACACAGACATACACACACACCCCTCTGTGACCTGTCTGTGGGAAGGCAGTCTGGTGTGGGGGTATGTCAGGCAGATATGGACATACACTATGGGAAGGAAGCTTTGCCAAGAGTCCTCCAATAAAAAAGTGGAGTCCGACCTGTGTGTGCATGTGTGTGTTCGGTAGAGAGATATGTGATCACCGGCGACAATGACACAGCCTACAGGGAGGAGGTCAGTGACCTGCCAGGACAACAACCTCTCCTTCAATGTTAGTAAGACCAAGGAGCTGATCGGGGACTACAGGAAAGGAAGGGGGGGGGGGGGCTTCAAGTTCCTCTGTGTCCAAATCATTAAGGACTTAATATGGTCCACAGACATACAAACAGTCATATCTTCAGAAAGTTCTACAGCAACACCATTGAGAGCATCTTGACTGGATGCATCACCGCTTGGTATGGCAACAGCACCGCTCTCAATCGCATGGCGCCTACAGAGGGTAGTGCGTACGGCCAAAATCCCGAGCTACCCGGACTATTTACATTGACCCCCTTATTTTATTATTATTTATTCGTATTTTTTGCACTGACTCTCTTGTACAGGCTCCATATACACTCACTGGACTCTAACAACACACTAACATATACTACACCAACACTCCAACACACACACACATACACACGAACACACACACACAACACACAAACACATGCATATTGACACCACACACACACACACATTCCTTCACACTCTTCACATACGCTGCTGCTACTCTGTGTTTATTATCTATCATAGTCACTTTACCCCTACCTACATGTACATATTACATCAATTACCTGGACTAACCTGTAACCCTGCACATTGACTCGGTACCAGTACCCCTTGAGTATAGCCTCATTACTGTTATTTTATTGTGTTACTATTTTTCCTTTAGTTTATTTAGCAAATTTTTCTTACTTACTTTTACTAATAATAATAATAATATAATACGCCATTTAGCAGACGCTTTTATCCAAACGACTTACAGTCATGCGTGCAAATTTTTTTTTGTGTATGGGTGGTCCCGGGGATCAAACCCACTACCTTGGCGTTACAAGCGCCGTGCTCTACCAGCTGAGCTACAGAGGACCAAAAAACTGCATTGTTGGTTAATGGCTCGTAAGTAAGTCTTTCAGAGTAAGATCTACACCTGTTGTATTCGGTGCATGTGAAAAGAAAATGTGATTTTGATTTGATTTGATTTGAACACATGTTGAATTGATTTGCTTTGATTTGCTTTATATTTTCTGATAGTGGAAGTACCTGCACTTGTAAGTATATTGATAAAGTTTTCCTTGCAGTATACAGGCCTTGGCACTTCGTTTTTTGGGGCTATCTAACTTTCTGTTGCTCTGTGTTTAGATGAAATTGTGACCTGAATGTTAAAGCCAGCTGAGTGATATGGAAGATGTGGATTAGTGTGAACCAGCCACCAATAGAGGGAGCTGTTCTACAGCCCATCATCACACACTGACTGGACCAGCCACCAATAGAGGGAGCTGTTCTACAGCCCATCATCACACTCTGACTGGACCAGCCACCAATAGAGGGAGCTGTTCTACAGCCCATCATCACACACTGACTGGACCAGCCACCAACAGAGGGAGCTGTTCTACAGCCCATCATCACACACTGACTGGACCAGCCATCACCCTCCTCATCGCTCCTTCAGTCAGAGGATCTGTGATGATGAACTGACCTCTCCATCCAGACCTCTCCATCCAGAACTTTTCCTTCCAGACCTCTCCATACAGACAACATATACACTCCAATAGATGTGAAATATGCCCAAACATACTCAGGAAAATAGCTCAAACACACAGATGAATGTCCATCCACGCACATTAGTATGGATATAGACATAAGGACTTATCGACGAGACTGGACTGAGTTGTTGTTGTAGGACAGGGGTTAGGTTTGGGACTGGGTGTAAGGCAGGAGTTAGGGTTGAGACTGGGTATAGGGCAGGGGTTAGGGTTGGGACTGGGTATAGGGCAGGGGTTAGGTTTGGCACTGGGTGTAGGGCAGGGGTTAGGGTTAGGACTGGGTGTAGGGCAGGGGTTGGGGTTAGGGTTGAGACTGGATGTAGGGCAGGGGTTAGGGTTGGAACTGGGTATAAGGCAGGCCAGGGGTTAGGGTTGAGACTGGGTCTAGGGCTGGGGTTATGGTTGGGACTGGGACTGCAGTAAGGATGCTGTCTGTGGTCATACTAGGTGTGTCCCTGTCCCTGCTCATTCTGCTGACGGTGTTTGGTAATGTCCTGGTATGTCTGGCCGTCTGTGCCACACGACGTCTCCGCTGCCTCACCAACTGTTTCATCATCTCCCTGGCCATCACTGACCTATTGCTTGGCATGCTGGTCCTGCCCTTCTCTGCCCTCCTCCAGCTCAGCGATTGGCCGCTGGGGCCGACCTTCTGCAACATCTACATCTCATTGGATGTTATGTTATGCACTGCCTCCATCCTCACCCTATTGGCCATCAGCGTGGACCGCTACCTGGCCGTGACCACGCCCCTTAGATACTCCTCACTGGTGTTGCCGAGGGGGGTAGCCATAACGATGGCTTTGGTGTGGGCGGTGTCAGTGGGGGTGTCGTTCCTGCCGATCCACCTGGGCTGGAACACTGTGGACGGCAGCGTGCAGAATCACGGCCCAGGGGAGGAGAGGGACTGTAAGTTTAAGCTGAACCCAACATACGTTGTGGTGGACGCCTCCTTAACCTTCTACCTCCCCCTGCTGATCATGTGCTGGACCTACTTCCGCATCCTCCGCATCGCCCGGGCCCAGGCCAGACGCATCATCCAAACACGACCCTGCCTCAACAACAACACCCTCTCGTCAGCCCCTCGTCACCTCACCTCGGTAACAGCCGTGGCTCTACGGGAATACAAAGCCACAGTGACTCTAGCAGCAGTGATCGGAGCGTTCGTGGTGTGCTGGCTCCCCTACTTCACCCTGTTTACCATTATGGGTCTGAAGGAGCAGAACTACCCAGCAGCCTACCCCGTGGTGCTGTGGCTGGGGTACATCAACTCAGCTCTGAACCCTTTGCTCTACGCTGCCCTCAACAGAGACTTTAGGTCCGCCTACGCCCGCCTGCTGCGCATTGGTTACTTTGGATATGGCAGGGGGAGGGGCTGGCCAACGTCGCCCAACACAATCACAACGGGTAAAAGGAACAAGGGGAAAGACAACACACATGGTGACGGAACACACACAATCATTCATAACATCTCCAAAATATTGTATTTTCTGTTGTCTAGCGAGTTAGGGCAATGGTGAGCCTGTGTGCACAGAATAGCCAATTCTTGTCTTCTGGTCTTGTATTCCTCTCAGGTGCGGGGGAGGTAGGTGGGGGGGAGGTAGCTCTGCTGTGTGAACACACCTCTTCCTGTAGGGCGGAGCCGAGTGAGACCGGTATGATGATGATGGTCCAGGAAGTCAGAGGAACAACTATGCCTTCCCCTCAGCACAGCAATGGGGCGTTTGTCGCCAGCTAGTGAGCAAAACAAAGTACAGATAAAAATCGGTCTAATAGTCTGTAGCCTATTATTAAACTGTTGATACCCTGTGCCATTCTATGTCCTGTGTGTCGGATCGTGCTGACCCTGTGTCTATCTGTGGGGAGGATTCAGTGTCCTACCAGTCCTGAAAGCTGAGCCCAACACCAGACAACCTAACTCATACACCCAGGGGATCAATCACATCACTGACAGGTAAGACACATCCAAACATTATTCATGAGTTTATAAAAGGTTCATGAAAGTGATCCACTTCTCTATGTTCTCCCCCAGGACACTGGGAGTCTTCCAAAATATCATGGACAATCCGCAACAAGGAATACCGGGGACCTTTAACCACATTTCTATCCCTTCAACCAATGAGCAGTGACTGGGGAAGCCCTCATGTCACTTTGTTCTGGAACACTGATACCTGGAAAGTAATGTCATGGGATGGACAGACAGACAAACTGACTGACTGACAGACTAAAACTCTCTTCCCAGACTGGTGGTAAACTCTAACCACTGGTGTTATTCACCTGAACCTGACTGTGATCTTCCAAAGTAGCAGATAGTTAGGCCCTCTAGTGATGGAATATAGTATTACAACCTGACAAGGAGACAAGACTCAGCAATTATCTATTAACCTCTTCATCACGAGGTTCCCCATATCCGGGTTACTCCTCCCGCAATCTCAAACAATGACGTAGTACGGTTTTTAAACATATCCAAGTGCGCACCTCATTGTCTCATATTAGTTGACTTGTTGCATTACACACAGTTACGCAGAGCGCACAACAGCACTTGAATTTCGGAGGGAAAACGCAAAGTTTATAAAAATATGACAGGCTCTAGTAACAAATATACAGTTACAGAGGCGTTATTAATTGTAACTGATGAAAGTTGGACTCCATGTATCCCCATTGACTCTGAATCAGACGATGAGGACCTGCTTAGACCGGACGAACCAGACCCCAATGACGAGAACGAAGGTTATCGTGTCCAGGGCCCTACTCAAGCATCAGAAGAGTATGTAATCCCATTGTCATTTATTACTTCTAATACTACTATTACTAATTTATTGTATGAGTACAAAACATACATTCTAAAATACAGTGAGGGAAAAAAGTATTTGATCCCCTGCTGATTTTGTACGTTTGCCCACTGACAAAGAAATGATACGTCTATCATTTTAATGGTAGGTTTATTTGAACAGTGAGAGACAGAATAACATCAAAAAAATCCAGAAAAACGCATGTCAAAAATGTTATAAATTGATTTGCATTTTAATGAGGGAAATAAGTATTTGACCCCCTCTCAATCAGAAAGATTTCTGGCTCCCAGGTGTCTTTTATACAGCTAACGAGCTGAGATTAGGAGCACACTCTTAAAGGGAGTGCTCCTAATCTCAGTTTGTTACCTGTATAAAAGACACCTGTCCACAGAAGCAATCAATCAATCAGATTCCAAACTCTCCACCATGGCCAAGACCAAAGAGCTCTCCAAGGATGTCAGGGACAAGATTGTAGACCTACACAAGGCTGGAATGGGCTACAAGACCATCGCCAAGCAGCTTGGTGAGAAGGTGACAACAGTTGGTGCGATTATTTGCAAATGGAAGAAACACAAAATAACTGTCAATCTCCCTCGGCCTGGGGCTCCATGCAAGATCTCACCTCGTGGAGTTGCAATGATCATGAGAACGGTGAGGAATCAGCCCAGAACTACACGGGAGGATCTTGTCAATGATCTCAAGGCAGCTGGGACCATAGTCACCAAGAAAACAATTGGTAACACACTACACCGTGAAGGACTGAAATCCTGCAACGCCCGCAAGGTCCCCCTGCTCAAGAAAGCACATATACAGGGCTGTCTGAAGTTTGCCAATGAACATCTGAATGATTCAGAGGAGAACTGGGTGAAAGTGTTGTGGTCAGATGAGACCAAAATTGAGGTATTTGGCATCAACTCAACTCGCCGTGTTTGGAGGAGGAGGAATGCTGCCTATGACCCCGAGAACACCATCCCCACCGTCAAACATGGAGGTGGAAACATTATGCTTTGGGGGTGTTTTTCTGCTAAGGGGACAGGACAACTTCACCGCATCAAAGGGACGATGGACGGGGCCATGTACCGTCAAATCTTGGGTGAGAACCTCCTTCCCTCAGCCAGGGCATTGAAAATGGGTCGTGGATGGGTATTCCAGCATGACAATGACCCAAAACACACGGCCAAGGCAACAAAGGAGTGGCTCAAGAAGAAGCACATTAAGGTCCTGGAGTGGCCTAGCCAGTCTCCAGACCTTAATCCCATAGAAAATCTGTTGAGGGAGCTGAAGGTTCGAGTTGACAAACATCAGCCTCGAAACCTTAATGACTTGGAGAAGATCTGCAAAAAGGAGTGGGACAAAATCCCTCCTGAGATGTGTGCAAACCTGGTGGCCAACTACAAGAAACATCTGACCTCTGTGATTGCCAACAAGGGTTTTGCCACCAAGTACTAAGTCATGTTTTGCAGAGGGGTCAAATACTTATTTCCCTCATTAAAATGCAAATCAATTTATAATATTTTTGACATGCGTTGTTCTGGATTTTTTTGTTGTTATTCTGTCTCTCACTGTTCAAATAAACCTACCATTAAAATTATAGACTGATCATTTCTTTGTCAGTGGGCAAACGTACAAAATCAGCAGGGGATCAAATACTTTTTTCCCTCACTGTATCTATTTGAGTAACTGAAGCTCAACGTAAGTTAGTGCTAGCTTAGCTTAGAGGCCCACATGCAAGTTTACTTACAAAAGAATGCTATGTGTATTATTTATTGTCACTGAATTATCACTTTAGTCAACATTCTCATAGTTCTAACTATTTATTTGATATATCTGACTGTCAATGAATGAATACAAGTGTGTTTTAGTCATGATTTTATTTTCCCTTTTGGCTTGTTTGCACAGTGAAGATGACTATAGGGGTGATGAGCCACAGCCAGAGCATCTGCCTCCTCAGCCACAGCTTCCCCTTCCTCAGGCAGAGCCTCCTCTTCCTCAGCCTGGCCGCTTGTCTAGACAACGCACTTCTGCTCCCCTCCCTAGGCCACAGTCTTCATCGGACACTGAGTCCCCTGTAAAGAGCCCTCAACCCAAAAGAAAAGGGAAAGCTTTCTCAAAGTCAGCGTGGCGGAGGTAGGCCTGCCACTCCAACAGTCGGGGAGGAAGAAGAGGAAGAAGAAGATAGGTGGCATAATAGAGAAGAGAATGATGAACGACCAGACCCAATCCCGTTTATGCCCACCAGAGTCCCAGACCCCACAATCGACACCACTGCGTCATGGTCTCCCCTTTCCTTTATCCGAAACATTGATTGGAATTACAGTGTTCACCACAAGACGATGAAATGGTATAATACTTTTCTTTTTCATTTTGTTGATATTGCTGTTGTAAATAGTTTCCCACTAAGCCGTACACACAGAAGAAGTTCAGGGAAAAGCTACTCACAGAAATGGTGAGCTTTGCTAAACAGTCTGAACCACAACCTCCACCACGACCACCACCAACATCCTGCATGCCAGAATACTAAAGTGATGATGCCAGCAAAGACAGGAAGAACTGTAGGAGATGTCTGGATGTTGGCATCCCCAAAGTGAAAACACCTGTGTACTGCAGGAAGTGCCAAGTCCCTTTGTGCATTACATCAAAGCGTAACTGTTTCAAGGATTGGCACGACAGCAAGTTTTAGGGTAAAAGAGGGTGTACATTTTGTGTGACAACCCACCCAAGGACACCATATAATTGTTTATAGTTTTGGGATGTGTGGACTTTTTGTTTTTAAATTTGTTGTATATAGTTTCTAATAAATCTGCTCAGTTTGGAGTCAAACTTTCCAATTGTATGGTTTATTTTAATGGGAACACGTATAGAGGTCTGGGAGAACATTGGAAACAACATCAAAACAGTTGTATTTTGATGGAATGTTAGTGAAATTAAATGACTTTTGCTGTCTGGTACCTGATAAAAGTCAAATGGCACTGATGGTGCCCAAATCTACCCAAATGTCTCCATTTGGTAATCCGCCTAAACATACTTCAACTAAAACCCCTACAACTTTGGTTTACTTTACTTTATTGGCATCAAACTTCACATAAGTACTCATCAGATATTGGGCTATGGTCCCATAGTGTTTAGGGGCTGCAGCTGCATAAGTCCAATAAAGCATTCCCTATAAAACCTGAAGTTTCTTTCAGGCGGAATCAAAACCTCGCAATTTATGCTGTGTTCTAGTTTCATGTACTCTGACACAGTAATACCCACATTAATTATTTCAATTCAAGATACATCTCACATGTGTTACCTTTCTTTTGCTACCAAGATTATGTTTATAGCCCTTGTCGTTTTGTAGATAGAGTGAGGGGAAAAAGTATTTGATACCCTGCTGATTTTGTACGTTTGCCCACTGACAAAGACATGATCAGACTATACATTTAATGGTAGGTTTATTTGAACAGTGAGAGACATAATAACAACAACAAAATCCAGAAAAAACGCATGTCAAAAATGTTATGAATTGATTTGCATTTTAATGAGGGAAATAAGTATTTGACCCCCTCTCAATTAGAAAGATTTCTGGCTCCCAGGTCTCTTTTCTACAGGTAACGAGCTGAGATTAGGAGCACACTCTTAACCTCTTAAGGCCCAAGCTGTTTTTTTACATGCATTTTTTATTTCTCTTTGCTATTTGGGCTTATTGGAACCTAATTAGAATAAAAACTAAGTATCATCTTTTGATATGATGTACTTTTAGAGAAAAATGATGTCCACATATGTGGATTCATGGTCCGAATTGCATTAGGCTAACATTTTCAACACAACTAATTTAAGTATGTATGTATGTATTTAGTGATTTAATTGTTATTTATTTCATTGGGACCATGTACAGCTTTTTAGCTGCATCAGAGCTAGCTTTTTTCCCATTTTACGTGTGTGCATGTTTACAAGCATATTAGCTGTTTCGAGGAGCCTCAGTCCATAAGTACACTTACGTGTACTTCATGTTTAGCGACCTACAAAGTTGCTAGTTTTACACTTTTTTTTCAAATTTGCATGTCATGACAAATATACAAGGCTTTTATAAATATCTAAATCAGAATAAGCCATGAAATATGACAGAACTTCTACACAATTGTGGACATAAGAGCTAAAAAGTGCTGTCCACGTATGTGACCACTAAGCCCTAGGAGGTTAAAGGGAGTGCTCCTAATCTCAGCTTGTTACCTGTATAAAAGAAACCTGTCCACAGAAGCAATCAATCAATCAGATTCCAAACTCTCCACCATGGCCAAGACCAAAGAGCTCTCCAAGGATGTCAGGGACAAGATTGTAGACCTACACAAGGCTGGAATGGGCTACAATACCATCACCAAGCAGCTTGGTGAGAAGGTGACAACAGTTGGTGCGATTATTCGCAAATGGAAGAAACACAAAATAACTGTCAATCTCCCTCGGCCTGGGGCTCCATGCAAGATCTCACCTCGTGGAGTTGCAATGATCATGAGAATGGTGAGGAATCAGCCCAGAACTACACAGGAGGATCTTGTCAATGATCTCAAGGCAGCTGGGACCATAGTCACCAAGAAAACAATTGGTAACACACTACGACGTGAAGGACTGAAATCCTGCAGCGCCCGCAAGGTCCCCCTGCTCAAGAAAGTACATATACAGGCCCGTCTGAAGTTTGCCAATGAACATCTGAATGTTTCAGAGGAGAACTGGGTCACAGTGTGGTGGTCAGATGAGACCAAAATCGAGCCATTTGGCGTCAACTCAACTTGCCGTGTTTGGAGGAGGAGGAATGCTGCCTATGACCCCAAGAACACCATCCCCACCGTCAAACATGGAGGTGGAAACATTATGCTTTGGGGGGTTTTTTCTGCTAAGGGGACAGGACAACTTCACCGCATCAAAGGGACGATGAACGGGGCCATGTACCGTCAAATCTTGGGTGAGAACCTCCTTCCCTCATCCAGGGAATTAAAAATGGGTCGTGGATGGGTATTCCAGCATGACAATGACTCAAAACACACGGCCAAGGCAACAAAGGAGTGGCTCAAGAAGAAGCACATTAAGGTCCTGGAGTGGCCAAGCCAGTCTCCAGACCTTATTCCCATAGAAAATCTGTGGAGGGAGCTGAAGGTTCGAGTTGCCAAACGTCAGCCTCGAAACCTTAATGACTTGGAGAAGATCTGCAAAGAGGAGTGGGACAAAATCCCTCCTGAGATGTGTGCAAACCTGGTGGCCAACTACAAGAAATGTCTGACCTCTGTGATTGCCAACAAGGGTTTTGCCACCAAGTACTAAGTCATGTTTTGCAGAGGAGTCAAATACTTATTTCCCTCATTAAAATGCAAATCAATTTATAACATTTTTGACGTGCATTTTTCTGGATTTTTTTGTTGTTAATCTGTCTCTCACTGTTTAAATAAACATACCATTAAAATTATAGACTGATCATGTCTTTGTCAGTGGGCAGACGTACAAAATCAGCAGGGGATCAAATACTTTTTTCCCTCACTGTATACTCTATTCAATTTGGGCATGCATTTTCGAGGCAGACACTTTAGCCAGGTGCCTAGTGATGAAGAGGTTAAAACAATAAGTGTTTTGAGAGAAAACCATTTTTGCATTGGATGCATCTCAATCCACCACATCCGCCACTGTCGCAAAAATCACATCTGTGGTGTAAGGTGACAGAGCTAGAGCGGTGTTTGTCAGACCATGAGACATCCCGAAAATCAATCTTCTCACAAAATCATCTGCAGCATCCAAACGGTTTGGCCTCACAAGACTCATCTGAAGATCCCCCGGTACCAGTTGGAAAAATGAATGGAAGTACATATGGAGACTGTTTAGTTCCAAATATAAGGGGCTAAAATACATGTAAAAATGTTTTTTACTAATGTTTCCTGATCTTTCTTATATCTCTCAGATATAGGAAAGACACTTCAGAACAAACTTCCTTTAGATTTCTTGGGGGGACTATCTGTTGTTCCATGTAGTGAATATGTTAGTCAGTGTGTTTGTATGGTCTAATAGCAGAAAGGCCAAATTACTTTTTTTATCAATTATATATACAGTACCAGTCAAAGTTAGGACACACCTACTCATTCCAGGGTTGTTATTTAATTTTACTATTTTCTACATTGTAGAATAATAGTGAAGACATCAAAACTATGAAATAACACATATGGAATCCTGTAGTAACCAAAAAAAGAATTAAACAAATTAAAATATATATTTTTATTTGAGATTCTTCAAATAGCCACCCTTTGCCTTGATGGCAGTTTTGCAAACTCAACCAGCTTTATGAGGTAGTCACCTGGAATGCATTTCAATTAACAGGTGTGCCTTCTTAAAAGTTAATTTATGAAATGTATTTCCTTCTTAATGCGTTTGAGCCAATCAGTTGTATTGTGACAAGGTAGGGGGGTATACAGAAGATAGCCCTATTTGGTAAAAGACCAAGTCCATATTATGGGAAGAACAGCTCAAATATGCAAAGAGAAATGAGAGTCCATCACTACTTTAAGACATGAAGGTCAGTCAATACGGAACATTTCAAGAACTTTGAAAGTGCAGTCGCAAAAACCATCAAGCGCTATGAAGAAACTGGCTCTCATGAGGACCGCCACAGGAATGGAAGACCCAGTGTTACCTCTGCTGCAGAGAATAAGTTCATTAGAGTTACCAGCCTCAGAAATTGCAGCCCAAATAAATGCTTCACAGAGTTCAAGTATCAGACACATCTCTAAATCAACTGTTCAGAGGGGACTGTGTGAATCAGGCCTTCATGGTCGAATTGCTGCAAAGAAACCACTACTAAAGGACACCAATAAGAAGACGAGACCTGCTTGGACCAAGAATAACGAGCAATGGACATTAGACCAGTGGAAATGTGTCCTTTGGTCTGGAGTCCAAATTTGAGATTTTTGGTTCCAACCGCCGTGTCTTTGTGAAACGCGATGTGGGTGAACGGATGATCTCCGCATGTGTATTTCCCACCGTAAAGCATGGAGGAGGAGGTGTTATGGTGTGGGGGTGCTTTTCTGGTGACACTGTCTGTGATTTATTTAGAATT